ATAATATTACCGGACAGTGAACAGTTACGTTTATTACATGACAGCTACAATGAAAAAAAATTGTCTCACAAATATAACAATATTTTCTACTAAGGTAACTTTATTTTATTATAGTCAGCTGTCAGTTTACTGCATGTGACTTTAAGCCGATTTGAATTCCCAAATGGATCCAGGTTTAGGGGCATGGAGTTTGAGTGCCGCCATGTGGCAGCCATCGGTACTGTCACACAGTCTGCCGAGATGCAGTACTGGCATGGTCAAATCTAAAACAAGGCGGCTAATCCAGGTTGATTATTTATTAAACTGTCCATGTATCTGCAGTTTGAGTTGCCTGTATCACCCCCGACAACTGAGGAAGTGATCCTCGGGACTTTCTATGCAGGTGCTGTGGAAAGCATCCTGGTATGGGAACAGCTGCGTTGAGGATCAAAAAGCTCTTCAGAGACTGATCCATATGGTAGAACGCTGCTGCAGGACTGCTCTCCCCTCATTACAGAACATCTACACCAGTAGATGTTGGTCTAGAGCAGCTCAGATACTAAAGGACCCCTCCCTTCCCGGTATTGTCCAGCAACAAACAGTCCAACTTCTACAATCAGGCAGAAGGTTCCGCATCATTCGGGCAAGAACAGAGAGACTCAAGAGGAGCTTCAGCCATATTCCATATAAATCAGGTACCATACAAAAATAAAAATAGCTTCAAATACAGTCATGACAATAAAAGAATATGACTTTAAGTACTTAATAACATTACTTCAGTTATAGTGCACCAACATCTCTTACACATTAGCACTAAGGGAACACTGAATGACCTGCTGGTTTTTGTCCATAAAACTACTCATCTAAGATTACCACAAAGTAAAAGATCTCTCAGCAAAATTATGCAACATTTTAGCCACTATTGCCCCGATCAAATCAGTGAGCTGGGATTTTTTATTCTAAACATGAACTACTGTTACAGCAACAGACATGAACTACTGGTGTCCTACACAACAACTCAATGTCCACTATGTGAAAGAGCCAAACACATGTTTTCTCCTCTCATTAACTGAGATGAACTTCTGGCATATTTGTTTTACATCTATACTGTCCAGTCTCTCCTGGTGGACATGGCAAAACGTTATTCAT